CCAAGCCCTCAGCTCCAGCAGGGTCACCTACAACCAGCTGCTCAGGAGCATGTCCAGATGATTCAAGTATTTCCAAGGATAGAGATTCCACAGTGTCTCTGAGTAAATTATCTTAGTGCTCAGTCACCCTCACAGTAAAAACTGTTTCTTGATGCTCAGAGGGAACCTCTGTTTCAGTTTGTGTGCACTGCGCACCTGTCAGTGGACGTAAGTTAAAATACATGAAATTGTAGCAGAATACAAGCAAATGCTTTTTATTGTAATGGTAACCAATACTGGAGCAGGTTGCCTGGAGAAACTGCAGAGATTCCAYCCCTGAAGATATTTAAAACCCAAACAGACACAGCCCTGTGCAACCTGCTCTATCTGACCCTGCGTGAGAAGGGAGTTGGACTAGGTGAATTTAGTAAGTCTTTTGCAGCCTAAAGGACTCTGTGACTCATTTCCTATCAGCTGCTATCAAACATGTACAACACTTTCAACAGAAATTTTTTAACAATTCAGCAAGTTACAAATTCAGCCAAGACAGCCAAAAGAAGGTGTGTGTATATGACCCTAAGTTGCAGCAAATCAAAAGAGAATACTTGGAGAAAAAATTTGCCCATCATGCTCTCACCAAAAATCAAACAGCTACAAGATTTTTTGCTAAAGCCCCTTCCTGTATCAGTTCCCSAAAGCAAGCAGGAATCCACATTTTTAAACTTATTCTTCAATACCAGATGRTGAAGAAATTTGAAACTTTTCCTTTCAAATTTTAAAGTGAGTTCAGGTAGCATTCTGGGACTTATACTGTTATCTACAGCAAAAAATACTGATTTCTTAGGAAAGGCCAAAAGCTTTACTTTCTAGCTCTTAATGATCTAGAATCCTTGCAAAGAGGATTCTGAATTTTTGACATAACGAGCAATAGCGTCAACAACAAAAAAATCAAGTCACGAAGCAAACAATTACAGAATTAATATACTCAAGTGRTTCAGTATCAACACTCAAAGAAAATTTCATAACTGATACAAATTCGGTGTCCTATATAAACTGACACTGTTTCTGCAAACTGAATTATTGAAGCTCTTGCATAACTGATGAATAAAGGAATACAGAGTCTTGCATGAGCACACAGTTCAAATCCAAGGCATTTTTCCCCCCAAAGTACTTTATAGAAAATTTTTTGATACTTTGACATGATAATACAAAGATACCTTAGTAAAATAAATTCCAAAGAAGAACAGTGTAAGAGTCAAAATTATTGCCAAAATACTTCTCCAAAATTAAGGCACCATACCAAAAGTTACCATTAGGAAATTACCAGGTAAAACACAACAGTAAATTAGAACAGATTATGCTTAGGAACAACAGAGAACACTACATCTGCAGTCTTAAACACACCACTTACTGCTTTGACTCATGGTGACAAACCTCCAGCGTTGGATCATTATAGATGAAAGCTGCTTCTAAATCATTGACTCTCACTCTGTAAATCCGGCATTGTTTACTGTTCAGCTTGATTCTGTTCAGGTTTGCAACTGTGGGAAATATTGTCAGCTCCACATAACCCTATAAAAACACAAACCAAAATAATCTGTAAAATCCTTATCAACTCAAAAACTAGAGTTATAAAAATTATTATTAATACAATTCAAAGAAAATAACTTGTATAAAGGTACTTTCATATTTAAAAAGGAAAATGTTTTGCTCTTCAATGTCTAGATTTTTTTCATGCTGTTTAACAGGTGAATTTTCACAGCTGTGAAATAAAACAAAACAATTCAACTTGACTGATAATCACTGATTGTGATGACTGATAATGACTGATCGTTTTACTGTAAAGAATTTGCCTCTGTTGACAAGATGTCAAGTTACTAGCATCACTATGTTGTAGGCTTCGGTATCTGAACTTGAGACAGGGATTCTTAAAACCTAAGCAGAACCCATTTAAGCAGATATCAACACTGACAAAGACCATCAGGGACTTTAGGCCTGAAATTATGCTAGTCTCTTCAAGGCMCAAGTGAACTCACATACAAGCTAGAAAACTCTGTAAGTCTATCCCTAACATCACCTAACACTCTGTGAGCATGAATTCTGAACTGCAAATTGCTCTGTAATATGATTTACAGCAGCAACCTTCATTTAGACAGCTTTTTCTTACACAGATAAAAGTGTTCACAATTAAAACCTATTTTATTTGATTCATCTCAAGCAATGACAGATTTAAGAGAAGCATCAGATTACAAAGTATAACAGATGAAGTACCTGAACAGCATAATTAGCTGGTGAATGCAGTTTTTCCCTCTAAAAGCATAAGGAAAACTCAGACATTTAATTTCTACTTTCCCACTTTATTAAAAAATACTTACTACAACAGACTTTCTCTGAAAGTTTATGTTGTTGATACAAACTACCTGATGAGTTGTGCTGAAAAAAAAGAAAATAAAAGTAAAGTTTTGCACAAATGACRGCATTTAAAATAGTACTTTTAACCTAGTTTAATAGAGAGCCACACAGAATATAAGTACATGTAGGTAAATACTGCATAGAGAATATATTTACATTTAAACAATTAATCATTGTCTCAATCTCTTATGTGGTCTAAACATAGTAATTAATAGAAGTTGCCCACAATGTCAGGAAAGTTCMAAAAAAACCCCACAGTATCACACCAATATGAATATTACTGGTAATACAGGAAATTAATAAAATCATTTTTGAACATCACTTATCTGTATATAAAAATAAAGAAYTAAAAATAGCAGAGTGTCATGGTCTAACACTGAAGTGATGTGTGGTACCAGTAATGGCATACAGCCATAATAACACTTGCAATCAGAGACCTGTGGAAAGTTACCTGGGGAATCAACACTCGTACATAATTTATGTAAGCAGGTATCACAATTAAAAGATATAGTATGTGCTTTTACAATTAGCATGCCCCACGAACTTATTCTTTAAACTAATCGTGATATATTAATAAAGATGGTTTTTTTAATATAGTCAAATGCATCTGCTTAATTTTTGACTGATGTAACTTTAGTGTGTTTAGTACTCACTTTGAGTGATGTAACATTACTCCTGGTAAACAAAACTCTGATTTAAAAGGTGGAAGATAAAATAATTCCAACTTTAAACCGGTATAAGTTATTTCTACATATTTCTCTGTACTTGGAGGCATCTTTACAGTAGTGAAATTCATAACTCAAGATAAAACCTTGGAATAACTCAACTACTACAGCACATCAACATTTATTTGCACATACCCTGTGCATTACAAAGTGACATTGCTTCAGATGAGATAAAATTTGATAAAAATCCCAGAAAGAAAATTACACCTAAAAATGGATTCAGACATTACCTACATTCAAATGTATATAAGAAGACTGACTCTACTTAGAAATACACTTGTGTAACTCATWTAGAAAGGARTCAAGGAGGTATAAAGATGCACTGAAATCCATCACCAACTGCTCTGCAGCTTGGTTACAACCCAAATAGTGAATGTGTAAAGATGACAATTTTTTTAACAAAGCTGCTTGCTGCAAATGCAAGCATTTTYTATACATAAAATTGCCCTTAAGTCAAAAAGGCTTTTTGACACAGAAGTAAGTATGGAACATTGCAGTATGATCTTTGGTACTGAAACTGTGTGGAGGAATGTCCAAGGTTTGAAGAGCATAATGTAAAGATCTTCTGAGACTGAATGGTTGACAGACTCACTGCCCATGAGTAAGTCCATTTACACAATAAAATATACATCTGCAACACCCATTTTCTTAATGCAAGCTACACCACAAGCWACAGCTCCAACTTTCTTAGGCAAATCATTACTAATCAGCCTGTTTTAATGTGCATTTCAAAGTTTCAAGTATAGCAACTTAAAAAAATGGATACTTATAATTTATATGGTCTTGGGCTTTCAAATCCTTTGTCTCCTTTCTTCCTATTCATTCTGAACCGCAGCACTAAACACACACTGCTGACCGTCAGACAGGCATCAACATCATTCTCGTTCAATGGGTCCCTCGATTTTTCCCCGTGTCACGTCGTRTTTGATCACTCATCTCCTCAGCTGATGCGCGACCCCCAGCAGTCAGGAACCTTCAGCTCGAATGTGCACCATCGTTACAGCACCACCAAAGCCCAGTGTTTGCACATAACCTTCTGTGAGCGCACACGCAGCCCCTCTGTCCGCTGCGGGTACGGTACCAGTCCGGAGGCGCTTCTTCCCCGCGGGAACTGCGGAACCCGACGGGATCAGCGGATGGTGGCGGCGGGAGCTGCGGAATCAGGAGGGCCACAGCCGGGCAGGCACCGGTGTCCGCGCTCCCGGGAGCGCCAGCGGGGACAGCGCCGTCCGCTGARAGCCGGAAGAGGTGCCAGGGGTTGAGCGGGCCGGGCGGGGGCCGGGCCGGGCCCGGGGCAGCGTCGGCCCCGCGGGTCTCCCTCAGCAGCGCGCCCGCCGCGCCCCAGCCGTGCGCGGCCCTGCCACAGCCGCCGCCATCTTGCCGCTCACCTCCGACCCCGCGGGTGAGAGGTCACGGCCCCATTAATTGAGCTCCATCGCTTTAAGGCGGAAAAGACTTTTGGAGTCTTGCTTTTTCAGAGGGGTGGCGCAGAGATGGCGGCAGCAGCCGGAGAAAAAAAATTAAAAAAAAAAAAAGAAAAAGAAAAAGAATAAACCCTCCAAAAGCCAGGAGAGGGGCGGGGCCGTGGCCCCGTGCGCAGGCGCACGGCGGGCGCGGCTCGCGCAGGCGCGGGCTGGGCCGGGGCCTGGAGAAGGCGGGAAAGGGCGGCGCGAGCAGCGCGGGCTCGGCCATTGCCGCGCGAGTCGGGTGAGGGGCGGCACCGCTCGAGTCCCGGCACACAGCCCGTGGGGGTCTGCTTTTCATAACCGAGATTGCTCTATTATTAGTAAGTTTAGGTTTGTCTATTTTATGTTAAAATAAATGCATCAAAGAAACTGATGGAGCTTAATTTCATTTTTAATGTACCAAAACCTATATCAGGAGCACTGAACACACAGAATGGTAACACATACAATTAATTTACACAAACTCTTCGCGCTGCTGTGAGAAGCGCTATTTATGAAATACTTAATTTCTTATTTTACTAAGAAACCCCTATATAAATATAAACTTGGACCACAGGCTACGAAGTATCAAGTGTGTTGTGTATTTCAGCTAAGGAGCCTTCTGTGATACAAGGGAAGGAATTTCCAAGGTTTTTCCATTCATATTACCACTGATCTCTGAGGGGGAACCTTCTGGTGCAATTGGACGAGTGCACTTGTTGGAACCAGACARCAAACAAGGCAGCTTTTCCCAGCAGAGAACCATTGTACGGCTGGTCAAACACCACCCCCCTGCACCAGCAATGTGGAACACAAGGCACTGACCTTGCAGCACTGGGCAACAATAAATGGAGCTCAGGATTTTTATTCAGTAACGTTTTATTCAGCTTTTAATCAACCCAATTCTAAGTATGCACATGTGCATCTTAAGAGTTACATCTGATTTAGGATGAGTTTCTCTCCCCACTCACCCTACAGCGGCAATGCTGGCAGTTCCAAGGTATTTCATACCTCATATCTGAGTGTGATGAAGCAAATGCTTTTTGTATCAAATAACCTACAATCGTTAAGTTTAAAATATAAATAGGAAAATTACCTGGTATTAAAATCTGTTTTACTGGCATACAAAAAATCCTTTTTAATAATTACAAAACTACCATCTCAAAAGCACAAAAGTACACATACCACTTCCTGACAGTATAATAAGAAAAAATCCTGTTTCATTGCTCTAAACAGAACAATATTATACTGTAAGTTTTTAAGGCACAATTTCTATGTGCATTTATTTGCCATAACAAAGTTCTTAAAAAAATTTTACTACAAAGTTGTGTTTTTTCAAAAAGCACAAGTTGTCTTCTGTGAAGCRTTAGTTTTATCTCAGCTATATTTTAATGACAGTTTATAGGAAATTTGTAACACAATGTTCAACTACTCTCTTACATTCACACTTCATTACAATTGTTTTTTTGTAACATACAAAAGGCCATTCTGCCAAGTACTAAAGTGTCAGGTGCTTGTGCTAATGGTGTTCACAGACATGACCTTAAAAAGAACCACTTTTCAAAATCAAGACTTGTTTAGTCTCAATGGGGAATGATTTAGTCATGAGCTTGATAAGGTCTGTGCTACTCAAAATGTGAACACTGCAATGAAACCTGAATCTTTAAGAATGATCACCAATGGGCAAAAGACTAAAAACTCCGTTTTGCTATTCAAATCAATTCAGTTGACTGAAATAYTATCAAGGTGGTTTTCTGTATTCATTTCAGACTTACAGATAAACAGATTAAGTGTATTCAAGAAGTAGCTTGGCTCTTGGCTTAACTAGACACAAATGGAAAAGAAGTTGGGCAAAGGTAGGCAAAGGAAGGTGAGCTGAACTATTGTTCCTTAGAGGGCACAAATGCCCTCACACTCTCCTTAGCTGAGCAGAAAACAGAAGTGGTTCAAGTAGCTTAGCTGCTTAAACTCAACTACACTGTATAATGTTGGTCAGCCACTCTTTTCCCCAGAAGGCAGCAGCAAGTAACATTGATTGTTACTACATTCAGTACCCTCAGTTCTTCAAACAATACTTGTTATGAGATGGGTCTTCTAGAATTATACACTTTAACACCATTCAGCATTGAGGAACGAGCATATTTTGTCAGTAGAGCACCAACAGTCTGCTTCTCTGCACATAAATCTCTGAAGAGGAAATAAAACAGATGRCATTGACATTAGATTCTCACACAAAATGAATCTGTAAAATATTTGTAACTACAGCAATAAACTGGATTAGGATATTAGGARAAAACTCAAACTACTCCACCTGTCACATAATRCTTTAAATTATCTTAAATTTAGAAGTTACCATGACATTTAAGCAATAGACAAAACTGCATTATTTCAGAAACAAGTATTTTGTTTTTTAGGGCGAGTTTTTATTATTACTGTTCTCTGATGAGTTTTCAGTCTAGCAAAACAGTTTTTAACTATTCAGTTTTTACAGTAAATTTAGAGCCAGTCATAAAGGGTTGATGCAGTTATTTCTGGGTTACCATCARTATCTGCTCACATATATCACAGCTGGGTATTCCAGACAGTGCAGTAGYGTAAGCCATAACCACCAAAGGAGCAAAGGACGTAGTACAGGAGGCACTATTGCTCTATAGGTCTCGTGTTGTAAATATAGAGACTGATTGGAAAGGTCGGCAGGTTTAGCCTCCTTAGTCTGCCTTAGTCAAATGACAGAGAGCTATCACTCATTTAAATCCAATATACATATTTAAATCCAAGAAAGAGAGCTTCAGATCCCAGAGGTGGGTATTCTATGCATATAAAATTCATATTAATTTAAAATGCAAACTATAGTAGTTGAGGCAGTGATAGCTCATCAGAAGCCAGCTCCCCAAAATGGAAGAACTTAATATTAATTTTATTTTAATAAAAAGAAATACATCCTTACTGTATGTAAGGGGTAATATCCACTTCTGTCCACTTTTCCCGTATGCCAAATAAGCTGTTGAATCTTTCCTGATTGTCTTCAGGTAAGTCTTCTACTTTCAGCAGAAAGATGGTCTCTGGTCTTGAACTTYTATCCACAAGAGCCAAGCCCTGCAGATCAGAGAGAAAATATTAAGCACAGGCAAAACAATTAAACTTCCTTCTTTCTGACAATATTCCATATAASCTGCTCTTTGCACATCCAAAACCTTCTAGAACTGTACTACCAGCAGAGTGAAGAACTGTCATGAAGGCACTATTTCACAAGCAGTATTTATMATTTCCTTTATGACAAGAAGGAAGGGAGAATCCAACACCTGCCTCCTTTGAGCAAAAGGATGCCCATAGTGCTTGCTACTCTACTGSCTGTCACTACAGTCTGTGCAACAAAAGCTTCAGCTTCTCTTCTAGTCACATTTACAAGTAGTAACTGTACAACTGCAACCTTTCTTCAAACAGTGAAACGTGTCAAAATTACAGAAACCTGAATTATCATGATTCCAGACTACTGGTGCTTATACAGGATGGCATAAAGCATACTCATACTCAAAAGCTGACAGAAGCAACACAATACCCAGTAATGAATAAAATCGATACATGGCACAAGTCAGTTACAGCCTACTCACAAAAGATCCATATTTCTTTATGTGTTTACCTTAAGCTGATCAAGCCTTGTTGTCATCCCTTCAGGGACACTCTGCCGCCAGACTTCTTCAAACTCTGATAGATTGAATTTAACTGCATTTTGCAAAAGCATTCGTGCTATAGCTCTGCATATTTTATCTTCACGCATTTCAAAGAAAACCTCCCCTGCTGAGAAGCAAAAACTAGGTTATCTTGGGTTCTTGCCTTTTGATAAAAGAACAGAGAACAGCCTTGTATTTACATTCTGTTCTTCAGTGTTCTACACACCAAATATCCTCTTTTTTTTTTTTTTTCCTTGGGAAGTAATCTGACTTTTGGTATTAATTTGGACAAATGATGGYATCTTCTCATTCTCAAGAACAAATGATGCAGAATACAGCAGCACAGTCCCAACTRCAGTATAGATTCATATTAATAAATGTATTTGCCCTCCATCTTTTCCCTTTTCACAGTATACTGTTTCTCATATAGCTTTCATTCCTATTTCTGAATGGCTTGTATTAAAGCATTTGCTTAAACTAACAAAACTTTCATTCTTTGATCACCCTTATGAGATTATGAAGTGATGAGACTTCAATTTCTTCACACTGACTTGGCTAAAATTCTCTGAACAAAATCAAGTATAAACACTTCCTTGTATTTCTTCAGCCACCTGTCTGTAATTAAGACTTGTTCCTTGTCTAATCTGCTTAAACATATTAAGACAAGAGTCTTTTGTCATTCCAATTACTTTTGTATGTCCTTTAAGGTTGAGTGCAACTCTTACTTCAGCCAAAGGTGAGATGAAAGCAATCGTGGGGAAGAATTCAGACTGAGATTAAGGCACTGCAATATTACATCTGTGTGTGAGATGGACAATGGAAATGTAATCAACACAACCAGCGGGTCTTATGGTGCAGTTCAAGAGATGAAAGGCAGACACCTACTTCAGKCAAGATGAATTCATGCCATTGACTATTCACAATAGTTCACAATTAGTTGGTTAAATGCCTGAGTCCTTCTAGGGTATCTAAAGAGAGATGTCATCTACATTTTACTAGTGATCTCTCTTTTTTCTCTATGGCTTGTAGACACTTAATAAATCACTTCCAGTACCTCTGTTGACAGCTTTCCCCTAGTGTCTTGTGCAGTTTAATAACCTTTTTTCCTATTAAACTTCCTCTAACAATTGTACTGATTTTTAGCCCAGTTTGCTCCCTCCTTATACTGGCATTGTAGCAAACTCATTTATTTGGGCTATTCTTCATCGTAGCAAACTCATTTATTTGGGCCATTCTTCATCGTAGCAAACTCATTTATTTGGGCCATTCTTCACAAAACCTACATTTCCTCACTAATAATTATTTCTTTTATGCAAAGTTAAACCATGCAAGCTTTCCCAAACTTACCATCATCAACGTATTTCCTGCCATAGCTTAAAAGAATGTGTTCTATCATCTCTCTGGAAAAAAAAAAAAATCACAAATCAAGTTCTAACACTCTTCATTAGGACACTGCAGAAACAGCTACCAAGAAGAAGATTAAGAAACAAGTATGGAGGAAAAAAAAATCGAACAGAATAGATGATGAGACATGTTTTTATGGGTGAAATGAAGAAACTGAAAAAATAGAAGTAAAAGGGAAGAACAAAAGGGGACAAATAACAGATGGAAGTTGATGTAGCCCGTCACACACAAAGGTCTCTTCCATTTTCTAGTTATAACTAGAAAGAACTAAAATGCATAAGGAGAATAAAGAAAAGAGACTCTTGCAGTATCACGTCTTTCCAAGGAGAAAGAATTGTATCAGAAACAGTGGCCAGCAGGACCAGGACAGGGATTGTCCCCCTGTACTCAGGACTGGTGAGGCTGCATTTCAGATCCTGTGTCCAGTTCTGGGCCCCTCACTGCAAGAAAGACAATGAGGGGCTGGAGCATGGCCAGAGAAGGGYAGTGGGGGGAAGAGTCTGGAGCACAAGAAAGACAGATGAGGAGCAGCTGATGGAGCTGGGGGTGTTTAGCCTGRAGAAGAGGAGGCTCAAAGGAGACCTTATCTCTCTCTACAACCGGCTGGAAATTCTCGCCAGGTGGAGGGGTTGGGACTCTTCTCCCAGGCAACAAGTGATAGGACAAGAGGAAATCACCACAGATTTAGACTACATATAATAGATTTTTTTTTCATGGAAAGTATTGTCAAGCACTGGAACAGGCTGYCTAGGGAAGCGCTGGAGAAACTATCCCTGGAGGTGTTTAAAAGACGTGTAGGTGTGGCACTTTAGGGATACAGTTAGTACTGAAATTGCCAGTGCTGGSTTAATGGTTGGACTCAATGATCTTAATGTTTTTTACCAATCTTAAATGATCCTATRATGAAAGTCAAAAATTTGGCAGTTAATTATCCCTTACTGAATAATAGGCATTTTAATGAAACTCTGGCATAAAATTATGCCCTAACTGCAGACACTAAAGCAAGACATCTTTTTGACCCAAAAGCCAAATAAATGGAAAATGCTACATATTGTAAACTTGAAACTTTCTTTGAATGGTAATCTTGAATTACTTAATGACTTYAACTCTTACATTCTGAATCCAGCATTACACCAGAAAACATACCCCCATCTCAGACAGCWTGCAGCAGGTAAAACCAAACATTTTTAGCTAGCTATAGCTTCAGAACACCTATTAGAAGATGGTCAGAAATTTACAACTTATGCATATGCTACTTCCATCATTTACAACTCAGCAGTAATGTTTCTACTATGAATCAATGGAAAYATTACCAATAGACACTAAAATTAGTTTACTAATCTATCCGTCTAAAAATTCCCTTCTGTATCTTTAGAAACAAAGAAAATCATTTATACCACAGTAACTACAATCTAGATTTGCAAGACTATAATTCTAATAAACAGTTAACAAGTACAATAATCAGTGATAGTTAATAATGAATGTAGGCAACTTTAAGWACTAAAAATAATTGCTTACTTGGGTTCTAGAGATCCAAGTTCTTCAAGGCAAAGACATAAAGGAACTTTACTCAAAGGCCAGGACTCTGAGTCTATTAGCTGAGTCACGTGATTCAAGAGTTTCATCTCATAGTCAAAGTCTAGAATTCTCCAATATCCTATCAAACAGACCACCAAAAAACACTGTTAGAAGAAAACATTAACAGCTTAGTCCTATTGCCAGAAAGATACATTGCAGGAGTCTGGACATTCAAGTCACTCCTTTACAAAATGCAGTAACGTGTCTTTTTCAGGATTAAAAACTGAGAAAAGGAACTAATAATATGAGCAAATACAAAGGAGAATATAACTTMATTATCTCAATTGTTTGCAATTCTTTAGTAGATTAACTGCCACAGATACAAAGACACTTCTAGTATMATTCCAAGATGAATCAGGCATGGAAAGACTAAGAATTAGTTCAGGCACAGAACTGCATGAACAGAACTGGCTGCATTTGCCCTACAAAGCAAYAGGTCACGTCCAGAGAAGTTCACAAAAATCCAGAAATCCAGATTCTAGGACTGCCATCACCTTGTGTCCCAGTGAGGGTTTGGCCATGGCCAGGTGAAGGATGAGTAGGACCTGTCCCAAGGTGAGGCACTTGCTCAAGCCTTGCCTCACATGGTAGGAAGACACTGAGATAAACTCAGCCTGGGAGGAAGAAAAGACTATGAAAAGGCTGGGCTTACATAAGAATCAGCTATTTTTGCCCCTAGAACTACAGAAAGCAGTACCCACTCATTCATGAAGAGGGTGACYAGTTAAAAAATATTTATCCTGTGGGTGGGATACTCAGATGCCAGTGTTTGYAGCAGCAAAGAAGGAATTATTCGGAGAGACTGGCAGTGCCTGCTCAGCCTTATCTTTCTGATCAGATTCATAGCAGCAAAGGATATAGAACTACAGAAGCAAATCTTASAACTTTCAAATAACTTGCACCTTGAAAAATGAGGATATGGAATGGGCCTTAGGAAAAGGAGACATATATTGGGGCAAACAGCAGGGTTATTTCCTCATAGGTAATAATATTCTTTAGATATGAATACCGTCAATTTTGCAGGCATCTATAACCTGCAATTGCTGGAGTATTTCTTCCTCACTTGCTTGGATCAGACTTAACAAATCTTCTGTTGTATACTGCAACAAGGGAAAAAAAGAAGGAAATAAAATAGGTTATTCCGACTCTTTTGCTTCGGTGACCATRCTAAATGCACTATGAGCTATAATGAAGGAAAGACTTAAGAGACATGTTTTTTTTCCTCTGAAGTTTCTAAGATCTACCACACTTTCTGATTCTTTTCCTGTAACGCAAAACATTTTGTCAAAGGATTATTCAACATAAAACCCAGTCTAACTACAGGAAAGTCTTTGTACCAGGCATAAGTAATGTAGCTGTATTCCCAGAATGTCAAACTAGCACAAGCAGACATTGTAAATAAAGTATCCCAGCAAGAATGAAAAGTGAAAGTGTYCTGCCTTTCCTGAAATCATATTTTTATCTGAGAAATTCAAAGAAAAGGCAAAGCAAAAATGACTTATCACTTTTAGATAGAAGTCAGAACCTGAACTTACTACCTCCCCTGAGGGAAAACCTCCCTTCACCACGACCTCAACAGTTACACCAGTTGTGTTTTGGTGTCTGCAAATCAATTGGCAACACATACACAGGCCCAGCCATAAGACAAACATCTCTTTGCACAACAGTTATGTGGTGAGATAGGAAGGTGCTGTGGGATACAGTGGTAAAGACGTGGGTAGAACAGAAGGAATCATGAGAAGTGAAGTGCATGGAAGAAATACCAGACTTCAATCCAAAGGAAACAGGGCTTTATCGATCCCTTTATTCACATTACAGCTTACTTRATCAACTCTAATATAAGAGTTCTGTTGATAATAGTTCAAGAATATTTCCTATCAAAAAGGAAAACACTGGATTAAGTATTGGATTGAGATCCGTCAGACTATGGGAACACAAATGGAACAAACCAATACCAAATTTGGAATGTCCACACATTAAAAGAGCATTTAATAAATACAGAAAGKCCTCCACTTCCTGCTATGCTATTCCTATTAGAGCATGTTGAAATATCATCAGGCCCAACTCCCATCATAAGTCAATGAGGGATGACTATTATACAGTACTTTAAAAAATCACTGCTAGCAACTGAGAGCAAAAATATCTCYAAATCAATATGTGGGTTTGAAAGTTAAATGCTGCCATTTGGATACCTTGCACAGAAGTCTGTGGCGTATATTCTTGCTTTGAGGCAAGYCTAGCAATCTTAAAAAGCTTTAAGACATCACTGCTCTTAGCTCTGATGTTATTATCAGCTAATTGCCCTTGCAAACACWAAATGGAATGGCCTGACTTGCACCATGTACACACCAGCAACTTCCAGATAATGTATTTAATGTTTCATATCCTTATTCTTATCAGACGTCTGGGATCATCTGAGTATGCCCTCCTGTTAACTGTAAAATTCAGTACTAGTCTACTTATTTAAAAGTTTTCCAAATCACATCACTGTGTGACAGGTTCCCTACAGTGTCAATGTTCCTTATGCCTCTTTTGCTGGGATTCTCTGTAAATGATACAGTCCTGAAAACCATGAGAAGCTTACATTAAACAACCAAAAGGAAGATGTTTCCAAACATCAAAGGTGGCCTGTTAGTTGCCAGAACATGATAAACATTAAGTTTAAACAAACAAAACARTGGAAATCATTACTATACATGTATTGTTTGGGATTTCAGTGAGAATTAGTCCCATGGGAAAGAGTTTTCCCCAGGAGAGCTTTCAGATTCATTTAGGAGCTCCACCAGAGGCAAGGTTAAGACYTGTCTACATGTATCAGATATATCTAGTTGTTCTCCAGTAAGTTCATAGAGGAGATACATTCTCCTTCAAAATAAATGGTGATCAATCCTCAAACTGGGTACTAATGTTTGGGAGATACTGCTATCTTTTTATAATACCARATATTACGAATAAATATTATTGCATATGACATTCTTGTGTTGCTAGGCCTTGTCAATGCTTAAAATTTTTGGACAATTTAAGCCCATTAACCTTTGCCATCTGTTATTTCTCTGTATGTCCTTCCATGCCTAGACCAGAGTAGGTAGGCAATGCTGGTATTAAGATTCTGTAACTGATTAGAAATCAGTCTGTTAATACATCAAAAAGAGAGGCATCATGTCTCTCTAAAGGAGAAAAATAACATCTGTGTTTGCACATCCAAGCACACACAGATGGTTTGTTGGTGTCAGATTCAATCTAGACTCAGCATAAAATACTTGGGAGCAACTATTTTTGGTTTTAAAGTTAAAAGGAAAACCAACCAAACTAACACAACCCTGGAATTTTTATCAGCCTTTTATCTGAGATCACATGCTGCACAGTCCAGGTCTTTCCATTACTCTTTAGATCCTAAACTGAATATCCTGGAAACACATGATACCACAGCAGGACAGGATTTTATTTGTTTTCCCTTCTTGTACTGTCAGTCTTATTCTATGTCTTATAGCATCCCTGTTACTCTCTTCAAGTCCATTCTTCTTATCATCACCAGTTATTGACTGGCAAGAACTTGCACATGGGTGTGCTCTGACCTCCCAAAGCAGAAGGAAAAGCTGCACTATACCTTAGTAGTCATATAACTCTCAAGGAGTTTTGAAAAGGTTCTGAAGATTGTCCTCTGAGAAATTTTACATAGGAAAAGGGAGATGCCCAATCTCCTCCATGTCCTTCATTTTTCTCTTTTTACTAATARAAGGTTTCTTACTGTACTCACTGGAAGTGCTAACAACTACCAACTTGTTTAGAATAGAAGGGTTAAAAAATTAACTCAAAGAAGCACTCAATCATGTAAGGAAAATAATTTTTCTACTTAAGAATGTATCTTCACTTTCATTTGCTCATTACCAATTACAAGTAAGCAATTTACACAGCTGATTCACCTTTGAAAATGTTGAAGTCTGATCTTTCTGACTATCAGGYCCTTCATATGGATCTTCCATTAAAAGCTTCCTCAGTTTCTTCAGTTTTGGTCGACATCTCCTTAATTCCCAATAGTTATTGGAGAAACCAGCAATCTACAAGAAAAAAACAGCAACTCTTAAAACATTTTAACATAGCATCTGRATTCAAAGCTGCTTACTAAAAATTATCAACAAGCAGCATTAATCTACTCACTGAAAACAAGAAATTATTAACAGAGTAATTAACTGAAAACAAAACAATCATTGCAATGTTTTCAATAAAAAAAAATTAGTACAGACAATGAAGAATAAAAATCCAGTGAGGAYTGATAAAAATACACTCACAGTGCTTAAGACAAAGGTAACACAACTCAACTCTGCATGCAAATGACAGAAAATCACCATGGGATCTATTTCTGCACAATTCTCCTCCAAACTGCCTTTTGTCTTAATGTGAAATTATATTACTGCCATAAAAGCCCTCCTGYATTAACCTGTGTCTATCTTCCCCATTTCTTCCCATGCTTGGGATCTACTTCATGGTGTTTTTACACTTCAATGAATCATCACAGCACAAAACATAAGCAAAGCAGACATTAACATGGACAGTAAGCTACACTTGCACACCACTAACAGGACATCTCTGTTCCTTGCCCTGACTCAACACACAAATGAAGAGAGTGCACAGAAAGCTTGGATGTACTTGACTCAACAACACTAACCTGAAAAAGCTTTACTTTCAGATTAATCCTGAGGTGTTTCATGGGGTACAGCCTGGACTTCCCAGAAGATTCTTTGAAGAGAACAGACTATTGGAGGCCCTTGAGCATAGTTTCTATTTACCAAACTGACAGAAATGGGATCAGAATGGCAGTGGCAGAACAGGCTCCAGCTTAGTGATTCCTGACCCAATCACTAGTCTCACGTAAGAAAAKCTTCCATGAAAAAGTACAGTACTTACTGTACTTCTAGACAATACTTTAAAAGACTCAAGTGCTTGACTAGAGTACTTGAGGTATTTTAGAAGTCCTCCATGAAAAAAAAGCAAAAATTTTAAAATAATGTTTCATTTAAATCAATTATAAGCAAAACCACCTATATACAAAAGAAATCCTATACGAATCTAACACAGAAAAATCTCTCAACTTAATCTAACTATTCCACAGTTGACTAGGCAAAAAATTCAAGTAAACGCTTAAAAATTCAAGAATTTCCTGATAAACTTCCAAGCTCCATGTCCAATAGTATTTACTTAAGCGTTAGGCTTTTTTCCGGTCAAGCTGTTTTCTCATCAATTTGTTAATAAAAAGATACTCTGCATGGAAAAGTAAATAAATAATTCTAATTTATATTCCAAAGCTCATAACGTGAGCTGGGCTCTGTGAGGTGATTAAAAGGCAGATGCTTTGTCCATGAGTATGAGCCTTGCAAGTGATTCAAGGACCAGCAGCCAGACTGCAAGCAAAGGGCAGCGAAGCCCCAAAGTATTGAGTACACATAGTATCTTTTGCTATGTTTCACAATTCACARTGCCAACGAACCATCTAACATTTTWGAAAACATTCTGAAAGCTCTCAGAAAGAAAACTCTTTAAATAGTTCCTAAGAAAATCACACTTTCATGATGTGTAACTTCACAAGAATAGTGAAATCATTAAATGTAGCAAAAAACCCACCCTGTATATGGAAGAATATTACTTTCGCATTAATCTATGTCAGCTTGAATTAACTTTCCACATTAGTTCACTATACCTCATGGAAGAACTGATGCTGAAGCAGGATTATTCCACAATGATGCCCTCATGTTTATCACAGAAAATGATTAATTAACAATATTTGCCTAACTATTTTTAATAGAATTTAATTAACTATGCTTCAGAAGAGCAGAAAATAATGAGTTTAAACTGAAAACACTAAAATCATTCATTCCAACAAATGTTTTGATATGCTAATTGAAAGAGCCAACTTTGAATATATTTCTAAATTTAAAAAATACTGTTCAGGCATGACATGGTAAAATCTGCCTTTTGGGGAAAGCACTCCTAAAAATCAACCTGTAAATAGCTTATTTTAAAAATAGTTGGTAACACTGAAAARATCATATTTTCTTTGCAAGCTTTTAATACCTACCATGTAACTACTATGCACTAAAAATAAAACAAAGTTTTAGCTTCTTGGAAATAATAATAATCATACATTACAGAGAGAGTTCAGTTGCCTGAAGAAGAGCCCTAAAGCCGTTTTGGATGCCCTAAGGCATAGCATGACCCTGTCTAAAAAGCACATTTATGAAGATATCCTCCTGCTGCTGGTCAATATACAAAGAAGCTACAGGAGACTCATCCTTTCTCCACTGGCAGTCTGCAMTAGCAGCTAGAGCAATACCACAGGGCTTCTAAAATGGCACGAGAAGCCTGTGTTTAGGCAGCTGAATCCCAGCTGCGTTTCACATAAACATCTTGGACAAAATACAAGAAATCAGAGAGAAGAAGAAAGCAGAGAATTAAAGCGAACAAACAAAAACCCTGAAAGACATACCTGTGAATGAATAATATTACAAGATGCTGGATCTGCATTCAGCTCCTCTGGAGTTTTGCAACCAGGAACAAACAGCAGCATATTTGAGGTATCTGCTATTTTCATGTCGTAAGTTTTGTCTTTGCTGCACAACACTGCATGTTCATCCCTTTCACCACGGATTACTAGGCTGGAAAAAAAAACCAGCACAGAAGTAAACACAAATTTTTACCTCTAGGATGAACACTTACTAAACTTGTCTGGTATTTTCTCACATTTATACATTTGTAAAGTAGTTATAAACTGTAGTTCTGGTRGGCGCAGTCACACTTCACCAAAATATAAACATGCAAATGTCAATTAACTGACATTTTCCCCTCTCATTTTAGTGTGGGAAAACGCAGATCACAGTGGAATGGCTCCAGTCATTCACACAACCCTCTCTAAAACACTKATTAAGTGATGCTTAATGTCTGAACTAGTTCACTAATTTTAGAAGTTAGATTAYAACCAGAGTTGTTCTTTAATAAGGACTGAAACTGGCTCATTGTGAAACAAGAAAGTGAACAGAAATCGTGTTTATTGTCCAGAGCTCTTCACATAATTAATATCTATTTTTTTCAAGCAATTCCAAGCAGGAAAGAAAATCATCTTCTAGAACAATTCTGGACCAATACTCTCTTGAGCTCACATACTTAATTAAGGATTCTGYGTGCGGATGTGGTAATACCAAAGCAGGAGGAACAATCAGTTCCTCCCAGGCTACACTTAAACACTCAGATTCAATTTCATTTAACTGCTCCTCATTTCCCAAAGCTGCAYGCATGAACAAAGCTCAGCTGTGCCCCAAGGGATCCTCAACATGATTCAGGACCTAACAGATGATACTTCTATCAGAATTGCACTAAATAAGAACGGACTTACTAATAAACCTGTCAGAGAATAACCTTCTCTAGAGGGAGTTCTCATATTGTATCATTGTAAAGATTTTCCTTATGTCACTGGTATTGCAATAAAGGAATAAATTTAAAAYAGTATCAAAATTTTATCYARAATCTGCTCTTGGTCTAGAGTTTGSTGTCACATAAYCAGCCTACTCCATGCCCATGCTAACACTGCATATCCTGCCCTGCCAATTTKTCCATTTTGTAGGTACCATGCCCTCCATCAGACCTCAAGAGTTCTCACAGGAAAATCTAAAAGTCAGAATTCTTTTAGAGTTATAATCTCTTTTCTACACCGACGGGATCTAGAAGATCGCGAGCTGGATGGGACCCACAAGTTGAGTCCAGCTCCAGGACAGCCCAAAGAATCACACCGTGTGTGAATCACACCGTGTGCAGTCCAGTTTTTTCTTGAACTGTTGCAGGCTAGGTGCTGTGGCCACTTCTTGRGGAGCCTATTCCAGCATCTTCTGAGTTTTGTTTAGAAGTCTCCACAGGAGAAAGTTTTCCATACAAAAACCAAGCAAACTTCTTATAGATGTATATAGCTTTTAGTTCAGTGTAACTGAGACAGGTTGAAAGGATTTAAGGGGCAGTTATGCGAACCGCATCAGAAGACCGCAAGTATGATAAACGTGTACAACACCACGTTTACGCGACGTCCCCGCGGCGCGAACCGCGATGGCCCCGCCCGCCCCGCGCCCGCCGTACCTGCGCCCCGCCTCCAGCTCGGCGCAGAGCCCCGGCTCCAGCTGCAGCAGGCAGCACTCGCCGCTGCCGACATGAGGGCCGAAGCTGAGGCAGTGCACGGCCGGCAGCAGCTCCGCCGGGTTCAGCTTGGCCGTCTGCAGAGTTGCGTCCACCTCAGCGCGGCTCCGCATGGCGGCCCCGGGCGGCTCCGAACCCCGCGCCACGGCCTCCATCGCCCGCTCCGCTCCGCTCCTCCCCGCCCCGCTCCGCTCCGCTCCTCCCCGCCCCGCTCCGCTCCGCTCCTCCCCGCCCCGCTCCTCCCCTCCCCGCCCCGCTCCTCCCCGGCGCGCGCGGGCCTGGATTGATTCTGTGGTTGACGGCCGTGCGCCCGGCGGCGGCCGGCGGGGCGGGCGCGGAGGGCTCGGGGTTACCCCGAGCTCTTTTCTGCTTCTCCGCCGGGTCTAATCTGGGACAAACCTCCCGATTTCGGACCGGCTGCACAGGAGCCGGGCTGTACTGCCGTAAAATCTCTCGTCACGCCAAAAATGCAATAAAAAAAATCTACAAAATGCACAAAATTAAATATAACCACAGAACACTGTAAAACCGGTCCCATATGGAATTCACTGCCCAGCTCTGAGGCAACATAGAATCACAAATGTGTTTAGGTTGGAAAAGGCTTCCAAGATCAAGTCCAGCACTGGCAAATCCACCATGAAACCATGACCCTAAGTGCCACATATACATGTCTTTTAAACACTTCGAGGGATGATGACTCCACCACTTCCCTRGGCAGTCTGTTCCAGGGCCTGGCCAACTTCTGTGAAGACATTTCTCCCAATATCCAATCTAAATCTCTGCTGGTGCAACATGAGCCCATTTCCCCTCACCCTGTTACTCCTTATCTGGGAGAATCCCCCCTGGCTACAGCCTCCTTTCAGGGAGTGATGGAGAGCAGGAAGGGTTCCCCCATCTGAACACCCCCAGCTCCCTCAGCTGCTCCTCCTCAGCCTCCTGCTCCAGACCCTTCCCCAGCTCTGCTGCCCTTCTCTGGACAAGCTCCAGCCCCTCAGTGTCTTTCTGGTAGTGAGGGGCCCAGAACTGGGCACAGCACTCCAGGCCTCCCCAGTGCTGAGTACAGGGGGACAATCTCTGCCCTGGTCCTGCTGGCCACTGTTTCTGATACAGGCCAGGATGCCATTGGCCTACCTGGACACCTGGACACTGGCYCATGTCCAGTGACTGTTGACCAGCACTCCCTTTCCACCAGCCATGSTGCCCCAAGCCTGCAGCATTGCTGTGCCACTCACTAAGTTCTTCCTTGATGCTAGAGYGTGACCGCAAGTGTGGAGAGAAGGAGGCTGTGTCCGAGTCACCACAATGGGGCCTGACTGTGGGAGGAAGGCACTGCTGACAGAGCTGCCACCCACTGGTGTCACTCACCCCAGGTCTTTCTGTCCTTCTGGGGACAGTCTGACTGAGGGCAGCTACCTGCAGGCTCTCATGACCCCTTGGGAAAGGGTTTGCACTGTCTCCACACAGAGGTTTGTCTCCCTGTGACTCAGGGCTCRGCTTCTTGCTGTGGCCTGACAGGGCTCCCTCTGCCAGAGGCAGCGCTTGAGCTAAAGCCATGACAGAAATGAGTGGAAACCACAGGCATGCGCAGTTATTGCAGTGGAAATAGTCTGCAGCTCAGAAATGCAAGGGGAAGTCTACTGACATCCTTAAACTATAAGAAGAAAACAAAAGCAGGGGCTCAGAACACAGCAAGTCAGCAGCAGTGGGAGTCAGACTTCCGCAAGGCATAGCACAGGATGCCTTTTACCTGCCTTGTCCAGGACAACTGGCTCCTCAGATACCGATTTTTGCTGCGGGGTATATTAACACTCTGCCTAGTAGTGTGCTAGCCCTAGCCATCTGCTGCRTGCATCAGCTAACAAATAGTTACTCAGTGCTCTTAACTTAGCTATATCCACTTGCAGAGTACCTCTGTGCTTGGTAGAAGCCAGTGCCAAATGACCCAGACGAGGAGGTTGTAACCCCTTTTGTGTGGRAACCAGAAGCAGGAGCTGGTGGGATGGAGCTGGCTCGGTTCAGTGCCAGCCTGGCAGAGACCAACTATCGTATGTGACTAAGTCAGGCCTTCAGAAGGTGGTGCCTGAGTGGTGCCAGCGAGGCAGCTGGCCTTGGAGAAAACTTTGAAGTTTTTAGGTAGTTACCTCTATCACATGTGCAATTGCTTGCTCAAAGACTCAGATATCTATCATATTTTCATATTTTATTTCAGTATTGGAAGGGGGAAATACTGTCATTGTGCACAYAGGAAACCAGAGACACTCCAACTTTGGTTAGTTTCTACTGATGTGTAGGTACAAACTGGTATGTCTACGGCCTTGAGACTTAACATTTTGTTTTAATGTAAATCTCTTCCTGCCCACTTGTCAGGTAAACCAGAAAATCACTTTTTACCAAGTAAATGCTCACATAGTTACTAACTATTTAAATACAGCTTAATTGTGCTCGCTTTGATTTATACCTTAACTTGTGCAATTTTCCAATGGCCTTGCACACTTGCTTCTTCTTTCTACTTTTCATTCTGTGAAATAAAAGAAGGTTCTAGYATAGCCAAGAAACTGAATCCAAGGYATGGGTTCATGGAGTTTGTATCTTAAGAGCTCTGCTATGTAACAGAAATCCAACAGGAAYGAAATCACTGGATGTTATTCAGGAGCTGACATTATTCTGTGGTCAGGAACATTTGTAGTAGCTATTAATTTTTCTAATCAGTTTTGTTTATCCTGGTAGTTCTGGTTGAAGATAATTTTTACATATTTTTCCTTAGGAATTGAAATATATATGCTTATGCTGCCTGRCATCTTTGCCTGTCCCTCGCTGACCACTCTGGAAGTTGCTGTTCAAGGTAAAGCAAMTTTGGCAGGTAAGTTTCCTGGAAGTTTGTTAGAAATCAGCAGCTGGGTGGTATATTGAAGCCTCTACTTAKGGGAATGCTGCTCTGCCCTCATTCWAAGAGRCAGAAGCCAACTRGCCTATTAAGTAAAAAGATGGACATGAATCTATAGCTATATCTTGTTTCTCAGGAAACAACTGGTATAATGCATCTGTTTTTGCTGAGAGTGCTTTAGAGCAGTGACCTAACTGACAAAAATGGGTTTGTCTAGGAACTCATGAAGCTGATTTCTTGAAACATGGATGAATCATTTAATGAATTAGAACTGCGGAGAAAAATAAGAGATGCTGAACTCTCAGTGTAGCTGTGAATTCATAGGGAAATGCATGCTATGGCAAGGGTGCTTGTTAGGATCCTGAAATTATTTTATATTGATGCTGTGGGGTTATTTGTTTGCTTTGGAGTTGCTGTATCGTAAGTAAGTTCTGTTTTCACTTTGAGCTGGTCTGGTGGGCTGAAACTATCAGGGTTCAGGAGCATGTAACATCATGGTACATGCAGRCATGAAACTCACCTTAGGAGAATGAAAGTAAGAGTTGAGGAAGCAGTTAATTCAGCCATCCCAGTTTAACTGCAACCAGTCCACCCAGGTGGCCATAGGAGGCTTTAAGTGGCTGCTGTGAGTGTATAATGTGTACACCTGTCAGCATAAGGGAGAAGCAGACTGAACTGCTAAATAGCCTCTGTATCCTCAGCTGGGCTGGGAACAGGGAAGGAATGAAGTCGAGTCTCAAGCAAAATAAGCTTTGCTGTAGTTTTTCAATTGACAAATGTTAATGGAAATTAGTGTTAATGGAATGTGGTTGACTAATGTTCAGTGACATTGGCAAAATAAAAACAAGGATTGTTGCAGATTGTTATAGTCTTGCCTTTGAAGTTCTTGGCCCTTTATAATMATTCCCAGGACTCAAACATGAGGGATGTGAACTGTTAAATAAATGAAGGGCATCTGTGGCCAATGAAATAAAAATAACTCCAAAGCTCTACAGCTAAAACATGAATGAAGCGATGACATAACAGTACATGCTACCACTGTCAGGCTTTAATTATTAGGTAGCCTGTTAGGAGGATGACTTCCTGTGTGTGATTGCAATTCAAGTGCTTGGGAGCCCTGCAGTTAAATGTAGTGAGAAAACTGGGGCATTTAAATGACAAAGATGTACACACTAGAAACTTACAGATGTCCTCAAAGCACAACAGAARTAGCTGAGAAAAAAAATTATAAAGCCAGCACTGGAAAAAATGGCACAGAGCCAAAGTTGAACACAGCAACACATTATCAGTTCAGTGATAATTACACAATTCACAGTTACAGTTCTTGGAAATTATTCCACAAGAGAGACTCATTTTGATTAAAGCCTCATAAGCCCTAGTTCAAGGATTTATTTTTTCAGCTGGAATGCCTATCTGCAATATTGAAAATTTGCACGTGTGTTACATTTTCACTCATTTAATGACTGTTACTCATCATTTAGAAATACCTTCAAGCCATTGGATGTGCTCATTGTGTTTCAGTAGAGGTGACCACCGAAGCTGTAGATGTGACTGAGGTTGGAGCTCTGAATGCTGTTTCAGCACATTGCAGACTCCCATGGGACCTCGGGAGAATGATGGTCTGTAATGAATGTGTTACATTTCCTTCCTAGGAAATTAGAAAGAGAAAAGAAAAACCAAACAGAAAATACCACTATGCCATTGTATAAATCCATGGTGCACACCTGTCCTGAATAATAATTGTCTAGTCAGTCCTAAATGTAAGAACTGGGGATTATTACTGAAAAGAACAGAAAGTAATGGATAACATGAGATAATAAATTTCTACACCACACATTGTGGAACTTGGGAGATGTGGTGAAAGTGAAAATGGCTGTGATCTACAGAAGAGTTAAACAAGTTCATGAAGACTAGATATGCTTCTCTTTGTTAATCACAATATCCAGGTTTTAGTCAGAACTCAGGATCCTAAATAAATTCAGACCTCCTAAATCACCAGACCACACGCTTTTCTGCTCTTCACTGGAGTTGGCTATTGAGACACACTTAATTTTTTAATTTTTTTTTTTTTTTTTTTTGGAAAAGGTAAAATAGCAAAACAGTGGCTTGCTCTGTTGCAGACTTTGATTCATTTGTATGATCTTACCCCACTAAAACCATCATACCTGATGATGTCAGCCAGAAAAGCACCACAAAGCAGGAGCTAATAAGCCCAAGACTCAAACAGGGAAGATTTCAGCCAATTAGTAGAATAACCAGATAGCTCATTGCTACCTCAGACAAG